AAAAAAATAAAAGTCTCTAATCAATAATACAAAGAAAAATCATCCTCCCAAATATTTATTTTCCCCCGTTTTTTTTCCCTTCTGTTATACCTCATTTTTCCCCATCCTCCCACAGAATGTTTGCAAAATAGCATTAAAGATTTATGCGGTCGCTTTGGCTGGAGGGAGGAGGCGTGACCACGTCCTGAAAGTGTCCCGATTACAGCCATGACACCAACATCTGTGCTGGGAGGGGAGAAAAGCATCTCTCTCTTAGCCTGAGGCTCAACTGCGGGTTCGCTATCCACAGAGGGGAGGCAGGTGGCAAAATGACGGGGGTGGGGGTGTAAAACCAAGCCCTTTCCAGCAGGAATCAAATTAAAAAAAAAAAAAAAAAAAAAGTCATGCAATCCTTCTTTTCTTCCTGTGACAAGATGGGAAAGCTAGGAGGGGGGAGGGGGACAGGGTTGTATTTTCCTTAGGAAAACGATGATATTTAGTTGTCTCTCTATAAATTTGCATCTTATCCCAGCACGCATTTGTACGCGACAGTCGTGGCGCAAGTTCGGTCGCAGTTTCCCCTTCGGTCCCCAGCGCACCCCCGCCCACAGACACCTCGAAGTTCAGCTCTTGTACTTACACATGTCTGTGCGACAACACTCACCCTCTAGCTGCGGGGGGCAGTGGAAGTAGAACATGGCCCTGCGGCTGGGTGGGCGCCCGCTGCTCGCAGCTGCGAGCCCGACGGCGGCGGCACCGGGGCCAGCCCGCAGCCACGGACCCGCACCAGCTCCCGCGTCCGGCACCGCCGAGGTGCCTCCTGCAGGTCTGAACACACAGAGGGAAAGAACAGAATAGGTGGAGAGCCAGAAGAAAACACCTGAAGAAACCCTGAATTGATAACCCTAAAGCCCATCCCAGAGGAAGAAAAGAAAGTAGCGCCTGACCCTGTGCAACGAATTAAAAAAGACAGAGGCAGAAAACTCCGTGGTAGGCGAACAGTAATCAGAATCAGCAAAACTTTGTTGGTTTGTTTTTTTTTCCCTGCCCAGAATAGCAGATTGTGCCTCTCTTGTTTTTCTATATATCCATCCATCCATCCATCCATCCATCCATCCATCCATCCATCCATCCATCCATCCATCCACCTCTCTATCTATCTATCTATCTATCTATCTATCTATCTATCTATCTATCTGTCTATCTCAAATATTCCTTTACAGAGCAAATAGTTACATAAAGAAAAAAAAAAATGTTTGTAGGTAAGATTGAACTGCTTAAAAGAAAATTTAAATTATTTTGCCAAAATGAAACAGCCATAAATTCTAAAAGCTGCCTTCTTTTTAAAGCATCCAGCACACTGGGAGCCAATGTTCCTCAGCAAGGAAAAAAAAACCCAAGCAACAATTCAAATTTATATGCAGTCATACTAAAAACAAACAAACAAACAAAAAATCCAGAAGGTACATGAATATAGTAATCCATACCTAAACCGAACAGAAGTAAAAATCACCGGTAAGGTTTGGGGGCGTTTTGCTTTAGAATAAGGCGCTGGGAGTTGTTGGCTGCAGAGACAGAAGGGCTCTGTGGAGTTCTGGAAGTGGCCAGATGTCTTTATATCTGTCTACAGCATGCTCTGCCTCTCAGCACTTGCCTTTATAATCTCACGCATAATTGGCCTTAATCTGATTATTTCCAGCGCTGTCTACAGTGAGTAACTTGGATAGGTCTATTGGGCCCTACAAATGGCCCACGTGGTGTGCAGAGCAGGGGGGGGGGTGGAGAGGATGAAAAGAAAAAAACGTGTAATTTCTCAGCAAACGCCAGGAATGTGAACGGCAGCAACACAATCCCATTATTTTCCGAGCGCCGGCGCTCCGGGGCTCACAGCCCCCTGCGTGTCCCCCCGGCCCGGGGTGCCCCGGGGTGCGGGCCGGGGGGGCCCCGAGCGCTGCCGGTAATTGCCGCCGGATGGGTTTTGGGGGGCCGCTCTGCACACGCCTCGCCTTTCCAAGCGATCGTACCGCGGCAAAGTTTGATTTTGTTCGCAGCGAGGGGTCTCTGGATTTATGCTCGCTTCCCGTCTGCAAATGATATGCGGCGGGACCCTTCGCAATTACTTTTAAAATGCATCCGAGACATAGGCTCAGCGGAGAGAGATGGCCCTTGCCTCAGCCCGGGTGAAAATTAGACTTTAAAGTACCCAGATGAAATTTTCAAGTCAGGGACGCGGGATTGGATCAAATCACATAAACTGCAAAAAAAGCAAGTATAATGGCGCATAATTGGTTCTGTAATAGCATTACACAAGGATAATAGCCTGTTATGGCCCCCTGCACATTAAGTGCTTCCCTGGCGTAAAGCCTTTATGATATTAAAGGGGGAATATAATGATATTTTGGTTATTAAATGCGTGTAATTAATTTATGCACCACTGAAAATAAAGTTGGTATTATGACCCACTCAAGATGCATCAGAAGATGTAAGTCAGACAACTGTTGATAAGTTCTGGTGTCTATGTTTCGTCTAGACTGCTGATTTTATTTTGGAACAATTGCTTCTCCGGCAGACTACACAAATTTAATATTTTATAAAGATTGTAATGTTCTGTGCAGGAAGGGCGAGCAAATCTACACAGGCTCTCTTAGATCTGATGGGAGTTTAAAGACAGAACATTCATACCAGAGCAAAGGAGATGGATACAGGCAATACAGGTGCAGAAATAGTGATATTGAAGAGATGATGTCTTTGGGAAGTTGATTCTGTACACACAATCTCATTAAATAAACACTAATAAGCCGTAGAAATATCACCTGCTCTGTCTTTTACATTAGGCATAGATGTGGAAATTCCCCTAACGTATATTCAAGTTGGAGCTATGCTTCCATCCTGTGAAGCATTAATGTAGCAAAGCAAGGCAAAAATTAATTTTGAGATACAAATTGATTTGATCTGATCCTATCTTATCCATTCACTTATAATTTTAGCATAGTACTAACAGATGTAGAAGGCTGTCTTCAGGTGTTTTATATACGTTTAGATGTCTACACACACACTTTTAGGAATATCTTTGTTTGACAACAGACATTTGCTCACCATCCAGGCAAGTCTCTGAGCAGTAAAGTATACTATGAATTGAGATGGTTTTTACAGCACCATGCAAGATCAAAGACCAATGCTCTGAATCTGACTGCACTTGATAAAATAGCAGCACAAGCTTTAGGTCAAGTAACCTTAAAAAGAAGACCATAACCTAGATGTGCTGCCTGCATCTCTCCTGACAGTCTCCCCCTCCTGAGCTTTAAAATCCACACAGGGCCAGTGCTGTAGGATCCCTTCGCACAGAGGCAGATGTGCCTTTTCCTTTTTCTCTGACATCAGGAAGAGATGAGTGAGATAGTGTTTTATCATAAGAACCCCTAATAAAATAATAATAACTTCATTATGGTGCTCTCTGGCCTTGCTCTAGTCAGGGGGCTGCATTGCTGTTTTGGCTCCAAGACTCACTTTCCCCAGCAGTTCCAAGCCTGCAAGTTCAGCGTATTACAGGAGGGGGAGAAGGTAGAATGGAGCACGGGGAAGTGCTCCAAGTAGCTGCTTTTTAAATAGAAGCAAAAGAACCCTGAACCGGTGGAGACTCAACTTTCTCCCAAGGACCAGCAGCTGCAAAACAAGGAGATAACTAAGCAATATATAATCCCCCACCCTCGCCAGCTCGGCGTCTGTTTAATTTTAATGCTCGAAACGCGGGGCTGACATAATTAAAAGTTAGCGCTGGGGAGTCCTGGGTGCTGCTCTCGGGCGGACGGAGCCCGGGGCGGCGGCGCTTCAGCACCACGGAGAGCGCCCGCAGCTCCGGCCCCGCTCCGCGCCCCGGCCCCGGCCCGGCCGGCGCTCCCCGGGGAGCGGCTGCGGGCAGGGCTGCTCCGGCCTCCCTCCGTGCCCCCCCGCTGCAAACGCTTTCCTGCCAATCCGGGACTACAGGGGAAAAAATATGCACTAAGTTGTTTGGGATCATGACTAGTATTTCCCTGGTGGTTCCTCTGATCTAGCAACCAAAGCACTAAAACAAGAATGAAATAATGTACAGAGCTAAAATATTTCAGGGAAAAAATACCTTTAATGTAAAGGTAAAGTCTCCTTCATAAACTTAATTTTCATTACTATTATTATTACTGTTGTTATTACTGTGACTATTGTGACATCAATATTAGTTACTAGGTCTGCAAGAGAAAGCCCAAATAAGTATAATTCAGGATAGACACTTTGCTCACTGTGTCTGTCTTAGAGCAGAACTGTTCCTGTGCTGCACACACAAACACACCTCTTATATTTCAACCATGAAGACAAAACCTAGGGCTGAACTGCTGAGCAAAATCACTGAATGGATGTTTTCCTTGGAAACACTGAGCTTTGAGGGGATCATTCAAAAAACTCAAGGAACAGCTCAGTCTGAATAAATGGCCCTCTTGCCCCTCCATGTCCAAATGCTTCCTTTCCTGTGATTCTCAATACCTGACCACAGAAAAAGGCTAGCGGCTAAAAGGTTATTTTACCCTAATTCATGTGCAGTAAAATGTATTTTCCAATTAACCAAATTTGCCGATTTGTCCCGCTTGGACACTCTTATAATTTATAATGTAAAAGTGTTCTTTCTTTATCTAAAGACCAAGGTGACTGCTTTTAATTTTCTGTAACCTCTTTACACTTGATGTTCACCAGACTCATAATGTTAATTGGCTTCATATACGGATCATCAGTTTAATGAAGGAATAAATCCTATGTTGCTTTATGTCCCTCTGTTTTAACAATGATTGCTTTAATGAAGAATGTGACGTGTTTGAAATCAAAGCTGCAGGAGACATTAGAGTTTTTTTTTAATGATGACTGAATTGCTTATTTAAAGCTAAACCATGAGGTTTTCATATTTCAAAATATTTTCTTTAAATAATTTTACATGGAAAATACTGACACATTCCTCATCAGAGAACTCTTTCTTTGCAATTACAGGCAGGGACTGAGAATAGCAGAGTCCTGTAATATAAACACCCCAATTATGTTATTAAATTATCTCTAAGCTTTTATATCACTGCAGTTTTCATTCAGAGTTTAAGTAAAACTCCCATTGAGTTATAAGTAGTTATGCCAGCCTAAAAAAGGAGTATTTGGGGGTAACTAATAAACCTTTTTGTCAACCAACAGTATTTCCACTGTTCATGGGTAGATGAAGAAATTAACAGGGGAGAAAGGATTGTCAGTTCATACACAAAAGCTTTAGATTGCTATAGTTTATTTTTCCCCATGGGAATTTTAGGATTTCAGGAGCAACGGTAAAATGGAATGAAACATGGACTCATAGAGGTAAGGTGACTGCAAATCAGAGCATCAATTAGGTCAAGCTGGAAAGCAGCAATTAGACCCAACTGCATGTGCTAGTTACAGTAGCTACAACAGGTTTAACATGTGCAAAGAAAATGAATTCTGGTAATTGAACTTCTACATTCCTGGTCCCATTTATAGTAAGCTTTCCTTCTCTCTCTTCCTTCTGCCTTTAATGGAGACTTCTATACTGGCATGCATATACTGGTGTGCATATACTGGTATATATTTTCTTCTAATTTGAGAGCTGTTAACAGAAATTACATGACTATTAGATAAAGGAACATGCAGCATCAGAGAGGAAGGTCTCTGATCAGAACCTAGACAAGGGCTAAGCAATCAATTAAATTGGATAGAAATTTCATGACATGGCAAAGGAAGTGCATGAGACTGAAAGGGATATTAGCTTAAATTACATACCACTGAGAAGTTATTCAGTATGCCAGGCCTGATCCCACAATTTCTTGTCTTGTTTATATCCTGGGAAGTGTTATACTCTTTCAATCCAGGTTGCAAAAAGCTTCATGTATGTACACACTGACCTTCATCACTGGCCTCCACATAGTTCTCATAGTGCTGCATGTTCCCCTTCAGAGCTGGCCAGGACCCTATGAACAGCCCATCATTCACTCTTGCCCTCCCTCTCAATGCAAAACAAGAAGGAGCCTTGTGGCACTTCTAGCGGCACACAAGATTAGTCTGCCTGGAGCGTTCCTCAGTATCCAACACTCTGCCTGGAGCTGTGCCTTTACCAAACCTGTGCTTAGCACAGGCAGGGTCTGTGCCAGGATAAAGGCAAACAACACTGGTTTTCAGGGGGATTATCTGGGCTTTTAGTGAAGATATCATACAAAGGTGCTTCTTCCAGGATAAAATAAGTGTTCTAACCAAGAGTTGTGAATAAAGACTTCCAAGGGAAGGTCTTTCAGTCTATGGCTTTTGAGGACACAGTTGCATGGCCACAAACACTGGCTCAGCACAATTAGCAGAAAATATGATGCAAATGAAGAGTTGATTACAATGTGGATCACAGTAGAAAGTGTATACAGATTTTTAAACACACACACACCCGTTTTGTGCTGCCTGACACATATAACCTTATGGTTAATCAAGCAAGGTTTCTGTGAGCAGATCTGAGCCAGCATACTGGGGTTTATGCTGCTTTGTGTGACAAGGCCTGAATTTACAGCATCACCAAATCGTGGTTTCAGTTAAAGTTTAGTCACTTCTCAGTATCAGGTCATTTTCTCAGGGAAAATCTGCAGCTTCTGTTTTCCTCGATAAGGCAGGCCACGATCTAGCTCTGAATAAGGGCAGTTAGTATATGCAAGAATCTAAAGCTGCACACATTCTGTGACAACAGAAAGTTAGCAGTCTCCCTTATTCTGTGAATGGCTTCTAGCAGTAAGCCCAACAGGAAGAAATAAAACATTCTACTAGCTGCTTTAATGCACTGTTGTCTCATTCACCAAAAGTAAGACAAATTCACACCTAATTACTCTCCTTGGAGGTGGGCTGCACTCCAGGCCAGCAGAGAAGTGGCCTAGGTGTGACATACTTTTGCACAAAGCCATTGAAATGCGCCCTCTGGGTGTGGCAATGCTCTCACATTAGTCCAAGCACTCCATCTCAGTTCTGGGAAAGTTTCACCATCCTTAGGGCTGAACCAGGAGTGAAGCTGCCTCTGAACACGTGCGCGTGGGGGTACATAAGAATGAACCCACATATGTACACGCACTTGTATGTGCAATCTGAAAGGGACTAGGGATAGTTTGGAGGGTTTAGTATCTGTAGGAAAGCCCTGGAATTTACCATAAACACCCAGTCACTCCTCTTTCCCGGAGACAATCTCCAGGACTATGAATAAATACTATCCTCCATTGCTCTTTCAAATAATTGCCCCATTTCCTATACGAAGAACAGGAACCATAGTAATTACCCTTGGCAGTCTGGAAGAAACACCCGAGCATTCCTAGAAGATTGCCTCATACCAAACAGCATTTTCAAGCCTGCAGAGTGGATAGAAGAGAGCTTACAGCAGCGCTGTGATCCAGCTTCCTCAGGGCAGGCACATAGACGTTTTCTCTTCCTCCCCAGCTCACCCCATCCCCCAGAAAAAAGGAAACCACCTCAGATCAATTTCCCCGAGCCCATCCTTTCTGCCTTACCTGTTCCAGGACACCCCCAGCAGATCCTTTCCCCTGCTTCAGTGCCAAGGAGCACCTGCCCATCATCTACACCTTGTGAAAGGAGTACCACAGAAATCCCTTAAAACAAACATTTCTACAATCAGGAAACCACTTCTGTGAATTTGTGCTCTTCACAGTTGGCTCTCTCCCACAACACACTGAGACCCCACTGCCATGTTGGCTTAGTGCTCTCCCCACCTTAAGGACAGAGTGTGACTGCACATACCTCACCAGCCTGGACCACTTTAGTTCCAAATTTGGACCAAATGCTTTGTCATGGGGCTGAGTGTAACCCTTCAGCTCTACCATGAGTAGGATTTTCTTCTTATTTTGGAATTTGTACATGTTTCAGTTAGTGAATGAGAAGAAAATTCACCTTTATTTTAAAGCAAAACAAAACAAAACAAAAGGCAACAAAAAGAAAGAGCCTACTTGTGCTTAATTGTTATTCTAATTATAAGTTGTGGTGTAGTGTAAATTTTTTCTCTTGGCATTATTATGAACCTCATTTCCTTACAAAGTCCAGGATAAACAATTCCAATATATTTTGTTTTAATTATCAGGGTTTAATGGGGCATAATAAGACTAAGTTGAGTGGTGCAGAAAAAAAAATAATTTAATGTGTGCAAAACTACCTAGTGCTCCTAGCTTGCCTGTGCATATTTCACCTATTGTAGGGCAGCACTCTGTTAGCTAATATTCAGTGTGCCCATCATTTATTTATTAATCATACTTGCTTTTCAGTAGAATATTTTTTTCCTGGCATCTGAAACAAGAAGAAACACATTACAACATCCTAGAAAAACAATGGGCAGTTCTCTGGGTTGAGCAGCGAAGGATGAAGCTGATATACAGCTAATGGTGCTGGAAGCATTTGTCATGCATGGACAGAAGATGCAATGTTGGACACAGATCCTGCCTCTGCCAATCCACTCCAAATGCTGCCAGTAAAAACTTCTGGCTTCAGTTCTTAGGGCCTCTACCACAAAAAGCAAAAATAATACATCAGCTGAAGTCACCATTCAGAAACAACCTGGTCCTGACTCTCACTGTAGATGCATGTTGCCACTCCCAAGGTGTGGTTCCTACAGAGTGAAAACACTGCAGGTACTTCTGCTGCGAAAAGGGGAAAGTGCATAAGAGCAGCCTGGGAAATAAAACAGTTAAAGGGAGATCCTTTATGGCCCTCTATGCTTCCCAAGGTCCCCATGGCACTGAATCCCATGGCTGGGTGTGGCTGATGCAGCAGTGAGAACCACCCTGCTACCAGATTTGCATTCCACTGTACCAGGACAACCACACACCAGGACCAAAACATTTTCACTTGAGGAATAACTACTGGATCCTCCCTGAAGGAAAACATGTCTATCCTCCTTATCTGTCATACTCCTTGGCACAGAGGACTTGATACAGTACCCACTGAAGCCATTGGGAATGTCCTCTCTTCTGGAAAATTATTTGATTCATGACTCTAGGAAAGGTTCAAATACAACATACAAACCATACCAATGTTACATTACATTTATTTAAAAAATTGCATTTTATATTACAGATTAATTTAATATACCCCAAGTGTTTAGGTTTTAAATTAAATAAATTTATTATACACATCAGTATTTACAGAAAGAAAAACATTACTTTTTTTTTTAAGTCTCATTGGAGTAAAAAAATTCTCCATGAAGATTCTAGCCATGGGAGATGCCACATTCTGTGAGAGGTCAGCCTCCTTCAAGGGTTCATGGAAACAAGAAACCAACCAGGCTTAAGATACACCTCAATGAATTGACTGAGGAATGGCAATGGGCTGGTTACCTGCAGGAAAATGTAGCAAGACTGAAAGATCTCAAGGGGCCCCATCCAAGCCTGTGCCCTCTATTCCTCAAAGAAGGGAGAGAATCAGCAGGTACATTGTGCATTCTAACAAAACTTGCCTCAGACACCAGACCAGGCCAGTATTTAGCACATTCTCCACATTCTCACAGACCTCCAAAGCTTCATGGTTTTCTTTCTTCTTGCTAAACCACGAGGATTCTGACCCAAGCTTAGGATCCCACAGTAGAGCAAACACACAGAGGCAGTCTCTGGTGCCACACACCCTGACAGCCATCACAGGGACAGGCACTGCCTCACCTTACAGAGTTGCAGCCCTGAGTTAGAAGCCAAGTATGATTCCCAGACAAATACTGACCCATGGGCTCCTTCAGACTGGCTAGCAAGTCCCATGGGGACTTATGAGGAGTTCTCTGCATTTGGTAGAGCTGCATAAAGCTCAGGGGAAGAAGTCCATTTCCTGGTAATGCATGATCTGCAAATGGCAGAAACCTCTGAAATTAGCTCTGGGCAAATACTTACCCTGAAAGCTCAAAGTAGGACTGCACATCCCCACTGGACTGTGCATCCAAAACTGATTAGGGCTGTGCTACTGACACCTGCATCCCATCCCGGGTGGAGGCAGGATGCCATGCCTGTTAAATCACTAGAAATTCTGAGCCTGAACAGTCAACTCAATGTGCTTCAACTCCTTCACATAGTAAGTTTCTGATTTTAATATTTTCCTTGGTGAACAGGCACTCAAAGAGTTCTCCATGGAGGTCTTGAAGTCCTCAGGTCTTCACAAGCCAGCCACCTTTCCACAGCCATGGTGAGAGGAGAAGGATTTGAAGCACAGTCCAGTTTCTGTCTCTCCTGCCCTGTAAACTGAAATGCCATCTCCTTTAGTATCTTCAGTGATAATTGGGAAACTGAATCCAGGTGCACACACATGCAGAGAAAAAAGAAGTCTTGTTAATGACAACCACACCTTGTTGCCACCATGTCTTTATAATTTTTAAGAACAACATTCTGTTTGTCATCAAAGTAGAGAAGATTGAGGGACTTCAATTCATCTGGCACACAGCAGGGCATGCTGACATCCTGAGACAATTTCAGTGTATAAACAATGGACTGAACTGTGGCATGGTTTGTTGCATTTAGACTTTCCCCCAAAGGGAAGATGCAGGATCCTCTGCAGTAAAATGCATTGTATCCACTTGGGTGAATAATCCACCCTGACCAGCCAATGGCACGGAAGTCCACATAGAGCTCCCTTCTGTGACATCCTGCCAAGGGACTCCTGGCTGCAGGGGCTGCAGCAGCTCGGGGTCTTCTGCTCAGGCTGGCACTGCTGCTTTCCATGACAGCAGTGTCATCAGGAACATGTGAAGATTTGGCAGGGTGGTTTGCTTCTGATTCTGAAAGGAAGCTGTATATTAATATTTCACAAACAAAGTTCATCTACAAAGTAGAGTATTCTGTGTAAAAGTCTATTAAGTAAATCTACATCGAAGCCTTTAGAGCAGATTTTAAAACTGCACCTAACCTGTGAATGTACCAGCAGGGGTGTGTATTCAATTGCCACTTCAGCAATACTTCCTAATCTGTCAAATCTTGTGTCTTGGAAAAGCCCCAATTCAGCAGAAATAGGAAAAAACCCACAATGATCTACTAAATATTCTGAACTCCGCAGTTCCTCTTCAGGGCTGAATCTAGTCAGAATGGTATTAACTGCTTTCATACAGCCACTCCTACAACACACATTATGCTGGGCAGCGCTAACAGAGGGTGGAGATCACAGCCTTTTTCTCTCCAGTATTCTCCCAGGAAGTGTATACCTATACACTTGCAAAGCAGAATGTGTAGAAACCTGGTCATGTGCAAAGTAACATTGTAAAAAAATATATTTTTCAAATTTGTGATCCTAAAAAAAAAACACCACCAGGTTTACAGAACACTAAGGAATTAATTGTACTGACAATAGGATGCTTTCTTAAAGTATGTTCTGAGAAGCCCTGGGATCCATGGAGATCCATGTACACAAGCTGGAACTCACTGATATGTAGAACAACCTGTGTGGTCACTGACCACTAACAACGGGCAGGTCTGGAGAGTTTCTTTGTTAAGAAATTTCTCAATCCTGACACAGTGCAGAGCTTGATGCTCATTAAACTAGATCTAGGATTTCACTATTCATTTTTATTTGGAAAACAAAAATAAACAAACCAGCCTAATTTTAGATTTTTAAATTTTATTTCTTATCAATTTCTCCATCTACTTCTTAATATTTTTCTACCTAGCTTCTAATATGCAAATACAACCGTTTACCAGGAAAGCCTGGAAAGCCAGAACAGCATGATTTTTGCCCCTCCTTGAAGCTCTTTGCGTTTATCAGGCCCTAAAATCCAGCCTTAGCTGATTTGACACTAAGGCCAATGGGAGAGGTAAGACACTGTTTTGTATTTTAAGGCACGAGGGCGTTGACTTTGATGAAAGCAGCCTTTAGTCACAATGCTAATTAGTCATTGAAGTTAAAAAGGTGCTTAAAAACCAAGGACATAGAATTTCAAATTGCTTGTTTAACAACCTCTTTCACTCTTAAAATCACACTTAATGACTGCTTACAGATACTTTACCAGAATTTTGACAAAGCATTCCAGGTCACCGAGGTTTTTTTCAGTATAAACCTAACATACAATTTTCATGCAAATTTCACCACCACAAAAATAATATAAGCAGTACTTAAAAAATGGAACTCCCACCCCCCTTTACAAACAGAATAAACCCAATTCTCTTTAGGATTAATGAATATTTCTGGCACACATAGTTTTTGTGAGGGGAGGGGCAATTTAGGATCCTGGTGACCTACTAGAAAGGACTATCAAATCAAATTTGGATCACTGACAAAGCAAAACTTCAAACCGGCTCAATACTGCAATAAACTAAATAAATAACTGAGGTTAGGTCTACATGAGGTACAGGAGGTGACAGAAGATGAACAGGCAATCCATATTCTAAAAGTGCACTTACTTGTAGCAGAGGGTACGAAGCTGTGAGACCTCCGTTTGTTACTGTTGGTGAAGAGAACAAGGAGAGCATTTCTGCTTTCCTGCAAAGTGCTCTGGCTCTTGGCAAACGTAACCACGTCGTGTTTCATTCCATTGCTGGAAACATGTGTCGCAGTTATCCAAAAGCCATGGTTGGAGCTGCTGTTTCCAACCCATTTGGAAACCTGGTGAAGATAGGGAAAAGAAAAAATATTGTTTCAATATTCTAATTACAGCATTATAATTAAGCAATGTTTATAATAAGTTTATATTAGGAAAAGAGAATAGGCAACAAGCTAGGAGAGCATAAGGACATATATTATAATAGAAGTGAGATAACTGTATAGCTGAGACTCCATTGACTTGAATATTTAAACAAGAAATTCAACACTTAAAATACAAAATAGCATAAGCATTCCCAAAAGCTACATTTACATACAGATAATTATTTTCAGAGAATTTACCAGTGAACATTTGAGTGTACACTCAACACTTTTTAATATTAAAATAAGCTCTCTCTGACTTTCAGCAGGAATTTATTTTTCATAGCAATCTGAACACAGTAATGTGAACTCTCCAGATTTTTCATACCGTTAAGACTTATGTAAATCTAAAAAAACATGGCATTTGAAGAAATTCACAATCAAGCAATTTTACTTATCTAATTGTTATAATTGCACACTGATCGATTAGGCCAGGTTATTCTCTAGCAGGAATATCATGAATTAAGATGGAACTCAACCAATCATCCAAAAATGCTGTTCAGCCTGATCATAAAGCTTAGGCAATGAAAAGCACCGTCCCAGAGTACAGCTTTAATCCACGTGTGGGTTCTTTTGCTATGGAAAGGCATTCACCTACTGTTACAATTTATGGATAGCTACAAAGCAGATCCTGAAGCTCACAGATACAGAAGTCTATGGAGAAAGCTGAACGACAGGCAACCCAACCATGACAAACTCCGGAAACACAAAGTTGAAGCAATACTGCTCTAAAGAAATGCTGCCAGAATAAAAGGAGAAATTAAAACCTACTGTTAGAAGGCAACCAATGCCAATTGCTTTGGCAGTCGAAAGACTAACACAAGGTTTTAATCAGTATTGGCCTGACGTCCCTTAATCGGCTAGGTTTGGGTTACTCAGTTCTCACCATGCTTGTGCTCCTAGCAGCTCATAAACACTTCTTTATTCCAGGTAGCACTGGGTGTATTTTTAAGGGTAGAGAGAAAGCTTCTCCCTCTGCTGCTGTCCTGTTTGAACTGACCTCAAAACCCAGCCTAATGGCAATGCTGGAGTTATAAGGTGTAATTTCAAGAGTTTAAGAAAAAAAATTAAGTCAGACTTCTCTGCTTACTGTCTGTGTGACGTTGAAGACTTCCCAGCCTTCCGTGTAGAGGGACAATAATCTTGATGCAATGAGATGCTTTTTCTGTGGCTTATTTTCACCCTCTAAGAGCTCATACACTTCCACCTAAATAACAGCAATAAACAACAAAACCAAGAAGAAATTAATTTGATTGTTCTTACAGCAAACTAGGAGGATGAAGATTAAGCAGCTTTCTGCTACATCACAGCTATGAAACTGTACCGTCATTCTAAAAGAGGTAAAAAGTAGATTTGGGACAGTTTAACAGAAAAAGTTATTGCTACATACATCTGCTTCTAGATGTGTTCAGAGGCAGAATACCAAATATAGGTACTATAGAAAATTATCCTAACCATCTCTATCCTGTTTTGAACACCTGACACCATCAAAGTCTTCTGTTCCTCCTCATATTTTTCTTCAGGTCTGCAAAAAGTCCAATTCTGCCCTTTGCCAGAGGAATAGACACACTCAGTTTCCTTACCGCCTTGTTTTCCCATGAATCCCTGGCTGTTATTACTACTTTTCGGAGCAGCTCCAGCAGATAAATTTCAATTCGAATTTCGAAATATCTCAAATCCCAGAAAAGTAATTTGGGATAGGTCTGACATTGGTATCTTTAGGGAAAGCTCACTGCCATAGCACACAGGTCAGCATAAAGGCAAAGTCAAAACTTTACACTATTTTGTATGGTGGAAGGAAAGGAAAAGTGAGGATGACAAAAATAACAACAAAGCAGGTTTGTGTGACACTAGTAGTTGCACTCCTTATTTTCAGCATTATTAACAAAGATAGCAGAATTAAGTGTTTAACTATTCCCCCACTTACTTTGCAGAAGTGTGGCGTGTCGGACCTTCTGGACCGATGTGCTGCCCTCTTAAGCTTGAAGACCCTGAACTCGGCTTTGAGCATCTGCTCGCCCCTTTCCATGGCGCTGATGTCGAAGTAGAAGTGGTGGTGGTCTACGTGAACTGGAAAAGACCCTTTTTTAGGAACACTGCCAGACTGCCCCCTCCCCCGGATTCACCGGGGGCTCGGCCCCGCCGCCCGGGCCCACCTCGGTCCTCGAAGCTGCGCACCA